TTTCAGCTGCTCTTATACATCATTTAAGTAAAATCTCAGGAAGATCAATAGTTTTGTAGTTCGAATTTTAGTGACGTCATGTGAAAACCAGCTATTGCACATGCCTAGCTATCAAACTCAATCGAGTTCCTTGCTGTTTTTCTTCGGTGTTATATACTATTGTTAAAAGCAATCAAAATCGATCCTGCTACAGAACTCTCGAAATGTCTCGAGAACTCTCATTTTGCCAAGCTTGCACAGTATTAAAGAAATTAAGCAAACGAGATTGGCAACACGACATCATAACGCGACGCAGAGTGAATTGCGTGACAGTCTTAGAGATAATTTTGAATAATCGAACAAAAGGGCTTCATTAACTGTATTGAAGAGTATTAGGTTAATGATTAACTTTATTTAATAATTTATTGGAAGTTAGTCTTTGCTCCTGTCCAAAGTACAATCCAGCGTCCAGACCCTAGAGTCCAGAGTCCTGTCTGAATTTTCCAGGTAATTTTTATCCTTTCGGTGAATTGGGTCACTTCATGACCTGCCCTCGGATTAATAGCTATTAATGTCTCAACAAAATCAAATCCTTCCCGGTCTCGTACAACGAGGCTTCGTTGGAGCTTCTCACTATGAGAATACACGGCAAGATTATCCTGTGGAGGCCGTGGAGTTCTTTTTGAATAATCTTGCAGTGAATGAGATCGTAACCCGGGATCGCCCTTTCGCCATTTTGGAAGTCGGCTGTGGCACGGGAAAGTTCACTCGGGTGATGTTAAAAATATTAGAGCTAAAAGAGGTCAAAGATATCAAAGTGATTGCCAGCGAACCACATCAGAACATGTACGAGGAATTTAAAGTGGTTATGCCTGATACTGAAATTATCCAATGCTCTGCCGAGAAAATACGTAAGTAGATTTATGTCAGTTATTTCAATTCTGCACGAGCACGATCTTCATATCGTTCTACTATTTATTATTGGTCATTACTGGTGCAGTTGACCTAATCTAGTTAACTTCGCACTTTCTTTGGAACGTCACATTTTAGTTACAAGTTTTCTCGGTTTTTTTCAACTTTGTATTCGAAATGAACATGATTATTTCAGAAACTAGTGTCACGCAACGCTCTTTGGACTAGTCACGTGACGTAGAAAGATTGCATGACGAACCCCAGAGAATGTCTCCATTCATGTAAACTATTGCCACTCCTGCACTCTGGCGTTTTTTCAGACCTATTTTACATCGCTTGCATCGATGTTTCCCGTGCGTAATAAGAAGACAACATTTCAAGTAGAAAGTCCTGTTTTATTTTTACCGTCAGCGCTGTATTTTAATTTTCAGCCCTCCCTGACGCAAGTGTGGACGTGGTTATTGCGGCCCAAAGTTTTCACTGGTTTGCAAACCGCGCAGCTGTTGAGGAGATTCACAGAGTTCTTGCTCCAAGTGGATCCTTTGGAATGATTTGGTCAATCGAAGACACTTCTGTTCCGTGGGTGAAAGATCTGTACGAATTTATGTGGCCCATTATTGAGCAAAAATCCATAGTTTTTCCTTACCAAGAAAGTTGGAAAACTCTTTTTGGCGGACTCTGCCAGCAGTTATTTCGCGCTCCAAAAGAAAATCTAAGCTTTAGGCATCGTTTCCCTTTCTCTGTTGAAAAGGCGTACGAGTTTTTCTCTTCGTATTCTGTAATAGCTGGCGGTAGCGAACAAACTAAGAAAGCTTTCAAAAAGAGTTTTGATAATGCTATGGAAAAACATTTCAAAGGAAATGGAATTCCTTTGCATCATATTTCCTTTCAAATCTATATGTACTGGTGTACTAAGACAACTTCAAATTAGTGGAGGTTACGCACTACGGGTTTGCTGTGGCTTTGTGCGGGTTTCTATTTGACATTTTCATTCGATTACTCGGGGAAATCTTCGCTGACGTCATGGTTTGCTTTCTTCCTTGTTAGCATTTGACTTTACATAGAGAAGACGCACTGCTAGCTAAATACGAATTGATTCCAGACATTGAAAGAGCTTGTAAAAGCTTATGTTTAACTATTTGGGTGTAGTATTGCAAGGGATATTGACTTTCAAAAACGGTAAAATTTCTGGGTTGCAAAAACGCAAACGAGTGTTAACATCCTAGTTTAATCCTGCCTACATTATTTACACTATAATTTACCGAATTTCATTTTGATTATTTGTAACATTTTCGCTATGTATAATTAACTGTTTTACAGGAGTTAAGTGTAAACTGTTTCCAGGCTTTTGTGTTGCTGAAATTAAAGGTGAGTAAATAGTCACCTGCGATCAGGCCGAGGTTTAACCCTTTGGTGCCTTCCCCCTCCCTACAAATGGTCAAAGGGGGTCGCGCGAAAAAAAAGAAACAAAAACAAAAACAAAAACAAAAACAAAAACAAAAACAAAAACAAAAACAAAAACAAAAACAAAAACAAAAACAAAAAAACAAAACAAAACAAAACAAAAACAAAAACTGGGCCAGATATAAGCCATTCCAGGTCGGACAACCGGAGTTGCAATATCATTTTCTTCGGGTCCCCTCCCTAAGATTTCTGCCGCTTGATTTTTTACGATAAGATTAGAACCTGCGGCAGCAAAACACAACACGCTATGATTGCCAGGCTGTCACTACGCAATCTAGAAGCCAGTTTTGCCTCGGCCAAACAGAATGAGGTCTGGGTTCCAGATTAGTCCCAAGTGTCCTAACTTTGAATCACAACTAATGTGCTGCTCAAGCGAGAGAGCATGAAGGGTGAGAGAGTTCATTTCAAATATGGGCCTTACGTTCAAGGTTAAACCCTCTCAAGTAATTTGTAGACATGTTATCAAGTTCTTTTACGCGTAATGCTATTGGAATTATCCCTGTCAGTCTGCCATACACGAGTATCTCTCCTCCGCAGAGGATCAAAACTTTCGTTATAGAGCCGCTGTGCGAGGTGAGTGCGGGCGCAAAGTCGTATTTACGTCAACCTGCACTTTATGGTTCGTTGAATTCTCCCCGCCCGGAAAGAAACCTTCCAGCCTATGCGGAGGAGAGAGATATTATCCCAAGACAAAATGTGCCCATCTGTATCGATATGTACAGCAAGCACCGTCCGGGTCACTGATGTCGAAATGTGAAATGCGAGACACCGAGTGGTTTAGGACGCTGGTGTTGTAATCCGGAGGTCCCGGATTCAAGGCCTTCACCCTGCCATTGGCGGGATTTGTTTCTCGGTAGTCCCGAGTTCAAATCCTCGGTCACGCTTTGTAAATAGCCAACTGGTCTGCCTCCTGCCAGTTGCGATTTCTAACTGTTACGTTTGTTTGAAATATTTGTTTCCTTTGTTTCAGTGGCATGTCTGTAAACTAGCTAAGCTTAGTGCTTGTATAGCTAAGTGTATGACCACTATAAATAAGATTTACATTTTACATTTTAGCACCCACCAATAGAGCGGTTTTGACTTGAGCGTCGAGAGTAATTCTCACTTGCTTCGGTTTTACATTATTACGTTAAGCTATTGACTCAGAAATTTGTCATCCAATCAGGAGTAAAACGAAAACCCGTTGTGACTCGCTTACACAAGTTTGTCCGCGCTTTGCGTCAACTGCATGCATTTGCTTAGAGTTTCGACTTGTTCGCTGGATCGTGTCCCTTCTGATTGGCTAGCGTGATTACTTTGGTTAAGGTTCAATACGTTAAAAATGCTCTAAATATCCGGGCTAAATATAAACTGGTCATCAAATCACATTTGTAATAACAGTTTAATTCACGTCACCAACCTACCAGGAAATTGAATTGTATGGATAGAAAAATATCAAGCATTTCAAAATAATCTTAGCAGATCCAAGTCCTGTGTTGTACAGAAATCGTATCTCGTATATGTTTAAATAAATAACTTGGCTTACTTAAACATGTCGCGATTCTTTGCAAGTCATGCTTTTCATAACTTTGCATCGATATATACAAGACCCTAATTATATTAACTTGGCTCGCAACGATTTTACAATCGTAGAAATGTGAGTGGGGAAGTCAACTTACGTTCCACCCCTAGTGGCCCCCAACACGATCGACTGCAGTCTTTTAACTCTAAAATTTCTGGCTAAAACGTTTCAAAAGAGAGATTTCCATTGTCTACTAAACTATCTTAACTTAACCGCTGGAAAATTGCAGTCAGGCAGTCGAAATCTGTGTCGGTTTAAAAACGTTTCGCCACTGACCAACTACGCTTCAGCTAGAATTGTATTACAATGATTTACCACAATTGACAGGAAGTAACGCGAATCCACCAGATTTCTAACCGAATTGTCTGTTCATATTAGATTTTAAATATAAATTAAATAACTAGTGATTCTCAAAAACCTAAACTACCTTGAAATGAGGTAACAAGTATTTTGTCTTTTATTTCACTATCTTCGTAATCGAAAGATCGCTGGCTTTTCTGGTGCACTCTTGAGTACAGATGGAGAGTTTCACTCGACACAACAAATATCGAAAAAACCCTGTTAAGCTTCCTCATCTAGAAATTCAACTTTTTAATACTTTTCTTTGTATAGCCCCC